GCTGGTGGGGTTGGGACAGTAGAAGAAGTCTTCACGGTAGAACCAGTAGAAGAGGTCTTGACAGTGGAGCTAGCTGGTGGGGTTGGGACAGTAGAAGAAGTCTTAACAGTGGAACCAGTAGAAGAGGTCTTGACGGTAGAGCTGGCTGGTGGAATAGACTTGGTGGTAGAAGTAGAAGTACCTGGACAGTCACAGTCCCAACAGAAGTTCAAAAGATCCTTCTTTTGGGTAGCACAACCCTTCAAGAAACCGAGAGCACCGAAGGTTCTCTTGCTTGGAGACTTGTCAGCATTGCCATCTCTCTTCTTGAATCCGTGCAAGACATCGTTGAAGACAGTAGTTGGGTCAACCTTGTTAAGACCGTTACCAGCACCAAAGCCGTAAGAACAAGAGTTACCGAAAACGGTGGAGACATCACTCCAGTAGGAGGCGTCAACGTTCAAGCTGGCGCTGAAGTCGAACTCGATGGAGAAACCGTGTGGCAAACAACACTTACCGTTCTGGACAGATGGCTTCACCAAGACGGTGGTACTCCACTTGGCACAACTGGAGACTTGAGCCTTGAAGTTACCGATCAAGTTAACATCGGCAACACCAGTGTTCTTGATACCCAAAGTCTTGACGTGAGGGAACAAGTATTTGTTCAATTCAGAAGATTGATCGGCTTCGTAGTTACAGGTCAATCTGTATTGACCATTTTCGGCCTTGTCAACTTGAGAAACGGCAAAAGCAGCCTTAGGCACTAAGTCGTAAGTTCTCTTTTCCAAGTCGAAGTCTTCTTCCTCGAAGTCGAGGTCTCTCTTCCAACTGGAAGGAGCGAAGATGTTCAACTGTTGACACTTCCATGGTTGACTGTTAGGTGGGACACAGTCATAGAAACTGTCATGGAAGGGGAAGGTAGCCTCAGCTGGAGCTGCTGCCAAAGCTAAGGCAATTGAAACGAGTGTAGCAGATCTCATTGTAAGCGAACGATGGAGGTTGTTGAGATGAAAATTGATGAAGGGTTCTGGCAGCCCTATTTATATCTCAGAACTCTGTTGTTGAAATCATTAAGTCCGCCCAGAGTTGCAACTATTGCAACTGCCGTACGCATTATTTCACCAAAAAGAAGGTTTGCCCTAACGTGTATAATAACACCGGTTGTAGCGGTACTCCAAAGCCCATGAACATGGTGTATTGCCGCCAAAAACTGTTAAAAATAAATCATCGACCTCCTGATGTATGAACAATAAGGAGTAAATTCGCATACGCATGTAATAATTATTCGCAACCACTTTTTTGGGTTGATGCAGGTGCAAAAAAAAAATTACCCGATTTGACTGGCGAGTGGATGGTCCAAGGGTTTACGCGAACTAAAAAATTAGTTTCGTATCATCCGTCCGTGCTTGTGCCAATGGTCTATGCCCGGAACCTGCTTTGCACCACATATAATTTGCCTCAATTCGGCAGGGGCCACGGATAAGCGGCCTGTGTTTTAACGAGGGTCTCCCCTGACATGATTTCCATGGGCCAATGCAGCTCTGGGTAACCTTGATCCGACGCTTGATCCATGATTGTTTCAGACTGGCTAGTTGAAATCTGAACCATTGTGGGAACAATCAAAGTGCCGTACCATATGATACACTAAAAATTGACGACGCCTGGAATTAACCTTTTAGACGTTGATGATCACGAGCAAAGTGCTCGTTCTAACAAAATTGGCTTCGGCTAATTTGATTTGAATATGAGGCGTATGTCCACATAGAACCCACCAAGTGCGTTCCTGTATCTTGCTAGCGTAAGAATCTAGGGGAGTGGGAAGCAGAGGTGACTTGCTGCAGTATTGACAAACAAACCAGAGCATACACGGGCGCCCGCGTACCTGAAAAAGGTTTCGCTGGCGCACTGGTTCCTGCCCTATTTCATGCTGGTGCTCTGATTTCTACCATGTGCAGCGTATCATCTCGGAATGAATTAGAGAGGGGCAACGGTTGCACTCCATTTGGGTGCATTTCGCTCCCAAATAGTAGTTCGTCTATGTGTGCCCTGCTCGTCTGCGCATGGGGGTCCTCAATTTCCGTTTTCGTCCACCAGCTCGTACCACCGATCAAAGGTCCTCAGGGTTCACCAGAGGGTTTGGCAAATGCCCGTGCGCCCGAACGGGAGCACATGCGCTTGCGCTTTAGAGTTGGCACAATCGATGAAAATTACGAATCACGTTCAACCGATTTGTTAGTGGGAACAGCTCCAAGATACGACCAGGACAATACACCGGCCATCCACAGATGGCAATGCACGATACCCCAAACAATATATGCATACAACATGACTGTTATTTCAGTTGGTTATATCGTTGATGCAAGCAAGGGTTCACCCACAGACCCTTGAGGCATCAACTTGTCCACACATCCGCCTTGACCGAAACACGTTTGTTTTCCTTACTTTACACGCGTTCGAAGGGTGAGGGGTGCGTCGCCTGGGGTTGGGAAGCTTGATCATAATCACAAACTGTCGCGGGAACCTCGGTGCTCGTCTACCAGCTAGCGAACAGTATTTTTTAGCACCACCACATGCGCTCGGATCCAGAGAGTGGAGAAGGGCTATTGTACGGTCTATTGTGTGGACCGTATTTAGCCCAACTAGCTGTGCGGCCCCATATAGGTCTACGGAAGAGCCATGCCCAAGTAGTGTCGTGCTCTGGTGCTGGAAACAGTGGTGATGGTGTGCATATAGGGTGAAAAATGGTACCTCGAATTGGACCTAAAATCGCCGAAATGCGCATCTCGCCTGCAACCAGTGGGCATAAGCATTTAACAATAATTTCAAGGTGAGGTACAACGATGGTGGGTTTAAGGTTACGGTCACATCCCTTTAAAGCCGCATTGCTAAACTCATTAGTCTATTGATTCACAGCGTTGTAACCCCTATGTGCGCCATATGGGCAATTTACGAAGTATTACTCTCGCACCACAAATTCGCATGAGGCATAGATGTTGCATGGTCGAGGCAGCTAAAATGCATTAGTCTTAGATATACAAGCTTATGAAATTTCACCCAAACCGGGCGGATTTTCCCATCTGGTCATCTGCCCCTTGGGGCCTCGAGGCTTCTAGATTCACCGTTCGCTGCATGGGGTCAATTAATTTCTGGCAAGGAAGCTTTTCCTACTATCCGCGTCCGAGTCTTCCTCTTGGGCTGACCCGTTTTCGGCATCTGGATTAACGGATTCGTCAGAGCTGGACTCGCCTGATGAACTTTCAAAGCTACTTTCTGTTTCAGATTCCGCCCCATCCGCTTCTTGTTCCTCTTCATCTTCCTCTTCCTCCTCCTCTTCCTCTTCATCACTCCCAAAGAAGTCATCCAAACTCTGTAGTTGGTAGGTTTGTTTACCTGTGAACTTTGGCTTCTCGTTGCTGTTGAAGCTTGCAGAAGAAATTGCATGGGATGAACTTGGCACGGGTGACTTAGTACCGTTACCAAAGCCTGAGGAGACTGATGATACCCCGGAAGTACCAAGCTTATTCACCTGCACCTTTGTTTCTTTTCTAACGCTTGCTGGGGGGAGGTCTTCGGGGTTGCTCCAATCACTAACCTCGAGGTACTTGGTCAAATTCTTGTTGTGGCTACTAGTCTCACTCAAAGAATTGACAAATGGTGCGGGTTTGGGCACTTGCAAGAACAAAGACGCCAATTGCGCCTGTTCGCTGCCAGTGTTCAACAAAACATTCAACATTCGAGCCCTATCTCTGGTGTCATAAGAGGCGTCATATTTTGATAATTGCAAGATATGCTGAAACATCAAACAAACTATGTTTTCATTTACTAGTTGGTCGATTTCATCATCGGGGTATTCCTTCTTGATACGATTCAACTCGTACGAAAACGATTTGGCGGCCAAGACTAGAATCTGATATCTCACCACCTCTGGTTCGGTTGCAAATCCTCTAATGAGCAATCGCAAAACATCTGGCCCGATTGTATTATTAGCAGCATCAGTAAACTCTCCTATAAACCAAATTATGCTTGCTTTTGCCTCACCTTCTAATCCAAAAGTTCTATCCTGCAAAATTAGTGAAAGTTTGTAGGTAGTTTGGATAATTTCTTCCTTTTGATTGGCTATGTTTGTTGTCAGATTACTTTTCTCCTGAATTGAGTATCGGATTACTGTAAGTAATTCATTCAAAATAGGACCTGTTCTATTTTTGACCTGCTTCAAACACCAACTTAAGATTTTTTCGGGCGCAATCTGGGAACACTTTCCGATAGCTTTAAACGCCTCCTTTGATATCTGGACGTTTTTCGAGTGCGCCGCGTAGTACTTTAGTTCCTCCACGATGTATTTGTGGTTATTATCATTGACTAACAATGAGAGAATCTCAAGCTTACTTTTAGCCACCGTTAGGGAGTCTGTGGGATAGACATAAAATTTCTTGAATGACTGATCAAACAACCCTGAATCTTGTTCTGCTATGCTTGAAATGAGTTGTAAGGCAAAATAGGAGATGTGCTTCTTGGAAGAAGTGGCAATTCTCACCAATGCTGAGTTGACTTGTAACGATCTGAAGGACAGTGGTGGGGCCAACGAGTATAATGCTTTGGCTATGCTCAAAATGACGTTTTCGGATGCAGAATACACCAACAACTTCAAGGAGTCCAAGAACAACTCGAGATCCTTATCGAAAGTGATATCATAGATTGGGAATGGAATGAGTTTCCAGTTCTCTGGCAAGTCGATCACTTGGTTCGATGAGTCCTTCAAGTACAACTTGGGTCTGGGCAAGAACTTTCTAGAGTATTCCGTTAATAACTCGATCAAGAAAGACTGTGCCCACTCATCCAACTCCCTGACAATGCCACAGAACCGACGGAAGTTGCCGTGGATAGGGTCCCACTTCTTGTTGCCGTCGCCTAGATTCTCTTTCATCTTGTAGTAAGTCTTGATGGCAGAGGTCACCACCTGGGGCTCGCTGTCCGCCAACAACTTGGAAAGATAATCCATGACCTGTTTCTTGGTGGAGTTGTCCATGTCATAGACCTTTCCGAGCGATATTGCTGTAGCTGCTCGCACAATGGGCGAAGGGTCGGAGATGGTTCTCTTGATGCAGAGAAGCAAGATGGGCACGATAGTCTGGATGCGGATTCCTGCCAACGACCGGATGGCCTTAGCCCTGTTGATGGGGTCCTTGTCGTTGAGCGACTTCTGGATCGAATTGATCGACAAGAGGGCGGTGTCTGGCTCTGTTTCTGCGTACCGGATCAAGTAGGTCAACACGAGGTTCTTGATCTTCTGGTTGGAAGTTGTGACGTTCTTCACTACGTCCGCAAAGTACATCTGGCCGTCCTCGCCTCGCGATATCAACGAGATCACACACCGCATTCCCGAGAGGATATCTCTGTCTGAACGTGAGTTCAAGAGCTTGGAGATTTCCTTGGGCCTCATTGAGCTGGGAGTGTCCACTAGCCTGGTTGAAGCTGACACTGCAGCCTCAATGGTGAAGTCCCGAGCAGACTCCAACATCGAGGAGATCTTGGAAAATGAATCTGCCATGGTGGTAGTGGTGGTGGTGGTTGGCGCTAGTTGGTTAGTTTTGTCGTTAGATAAATGTCGCTACATGCGAGCGTGTCTCCGGCTGGAACGGAGGTAACAGCACCATTAGTGAGCAACTGGCCGTGGTGGGAAGGTGCTTGATGTGCTCTGGGAGAGTTTGTTCCGGTATTTGTATAGCTGGTAGAGAAGCTGATCCACTGTGAATGTTTTTAGTTTTTTCTACGTCTAATCAATATTGGTAGTGAGCGACATTCTGTAGTAGTCAGACAAGAATACCACCATTCTCGTGGAATTTACATAAGTTCTTACAAATAGATGCCCATTCATTCTGGGTGGTCCTTTTAGCATAATTGACCAAATTTCAACTTTGGAATTCACAACTCAATCAATCTCACGATACACATTTTTGTAGTTTTTGTTCTTAAATGCTATAAATTTACAATAATCGTATCTTTCAGGTATCGTTACTATGCAGGAAACACAATTTACCCCGCAAGATCGTTGATTTGTAATTTATTACTAATAATAATTCCCGTCACCGCTGCTCCAATCATATCTACATACTATGCTCTCGCAAACACACACACCATGCAGACTGCAGACTGCAGACTGCCTACTTTTAATTTACTACTATCAATTTATTGATAATTTCTTACTAATGCTTCCTAAATTTAGTAGTCACGAACCACAGCAAAGGTTTTTTAGGGTATTGTAGTAAAGGTTACTACACTTCATCCTATGCTAGCTTGTGGTTTTGGCCCGCTTGTTCAACTTGTTAGCTGCAGTTTTAATTCTCTTGCCCAAACTAAGCTCTTTCCGTGACTGAATGTACTCCTGAGGAAAGAACTCACTAATGGTGGACTGGGTGCCCTCTTGCTTTTTTCTGTTCATATCTCGGATCAAAGGCACCATCACCTCGTCGACCCTTTCCTGGGGCCAGTTGACATTGTACATCAAGTACGAGCGAATTTGGTCCAAACTGGGCACGCCCCACTTGAATGGGCTCTTGTCGTGGTCCACCTCGGGTGATTTGTAGGCAGTGAATACCACCAGATCGGGAAACGAGTCCGGAAGAAAGAGCTTTCCTGCTCTGATCCTGGCCAGCAAGGTCTTCTTTAGCCCTGTCTCGGTATTCTTGGTAGTAAGACTGGTGGTCTGTTGGTCATACCACTTCTTGAAGTCCTTAAGGGTGCCAAACTCGGCCAAAATCTCCATGGCCAACACTGGCCCCACTCCCTTAATCCCCTCTGTGTAGTCGCTCCCAAGCAATAATGCCAACTCAATTAGCTTGTCCTGAGTGAGCCCGACCTTCTGCTCTATTTCTTCGGATATATAGCACTCCACGTACTGCTTCTGGTTAAACATGTTCTTGTACACTTTGTCTCCACCAAAAAGGAATGAATCACTATCGTCGGTGATGATGCCATCCACCAAGTTGAGTTTAAAGAGCTCGGCACACTGAGCTTCTGCTTCCATGGGGGCGGTGATGTAGGGGATTCCAAACCTGCGGAGCAACTCCTGGACATCACTGATCATGGTTTGCGTTACTTCCTCAGAGTCTCTCTTCTCCTTGTTCAATTTTTCTTGAAGCATCTGCTCCTGGGTGATACTGGAGTTGATTGTGGCCAACGGCACCTCGAGTGATTTCTGAATCGTGGACTTGAAGTTTTCGTGGCCATCCTCCTCTTCTCTTAACTGATGCAAGAGCTCATCCCCATCATCGTCTTCAAAGTCATATTCAATGATTTGTGCTTTCCTGGCTTCGGCTTCTCTGAGCGGTTCTCTGGGCTCTTTTGCGTCAATGTCTTGAGCTCGTTGTGCTTCTGGTGGTGCAATTTCCTGGATATCGTCTTCATCACTCACACCATCCGAAAGCTCGTTAACATAGTCCTGCTTTGCACCCAGGAACATCTCTCTCGCCTCGTTCCAAGGAATCAACCCTGCATGTTCGTCTTCCACAAACTGCTCTCTCGTGTCTTTTGCCTCGCCAAAGCTGGTTTGCTGGTGTACGTTCAGTTCAGAAAGGCCCTCGTTGAACCACGAAGGAATAGGCTGGTTTTTTATTTTTGTAATTTCCTTGTTGGAATTTTCGTTTTGCTCCGATTCATGGTCCTTCTTGTCTAGGTCAATTTGAACTTTGATATTATCATTTTGGCCCTTTTCGTGTACATTTACTGGAACGTTAATCTCATTTGCAGAGCTTTGATCACCACTGTCAATTCTTGTAACGACCTCAGGGCTCTCTGGTTCCACCTCTATAACCTCAGCCCCCGACTTGCTGTCTTCGGAGACAAATCCTGGCCCTTCAGAAGTGACCGTGGCCTCTCTTCTTGGCCGAGATTCTGTGTCTTCCACAATTCGAGATTGCGGTTGAGGAACAATTGGAACAGCCGTTGACGAATCTGGCAGAGAAGGTTTCTGCACAGTAGGACCTCCAAATAAAAATGAGGATCCTAGCGATTCAGAGGCTGCCAGGCTCTTTTCTCCAGGCCCATTCACAACTTGAGGTTTTTGTTTGTTGACCGACGGGATCTTAGATCCAGTAGCGAACAAGAAGGATCTTCCCAATCCCCCGCTGGAATTATTTTGAGGGTCCAATCCCTGCTGCTCTGAGATTTTTGTATCCAATTCAGCCTCTTGTCTGTATAACAGTTCCAAATCCTTCTTCGAGTTTTCAATTGCTCTGCGTAAATCATCTTCATGGAACCCATCAACGGTAGGCACTCCTGGATTGGCAGTCTCATACTGGCTGTATATGGATTCAATTAGGGCCTTTTGTTGCTCCTTCTCCTGCTCTGTTTCTTGCACATCGAGGTCTACGTCTTCAAATTCGTCACTGTCGTCATCAGAGCCTGGTTGGTTCTGCAGGGTTTGTTTCAATTCATCCTTGACTGGCACAAACGGATTTTTGACCTCATTTCCATCCTCATCCAACACAATTGGATTTTTTTCACTGGAGTCCCCATCGATCGAGAGGGTCCAGCCATCGTCATTTTTGATCAAGGCATATTTACGGTCCTTGTCACCGGCAATACGCCTTGTGGCGTTACCGTCGTCGCCCATACCCGCGACGTTCATAAGTTTCTGGGTGTAGAAGTTTCGCTTCTGCACCTGTTGGATCTGGAACTTGGAAAAGTCCATGCTGTCGGGAAACAACGCCTCGAGCTGGTCCTTCCTGTATCCCATTCTCAACCGTGACTTAAGTCTCAAGTGCGAGAGAACCATGTACTGGGTGCCGATGGGCAATTGAAGGAACTCCTTCGAGTTGGGATCCACTGAGTTGATATCGATTCCGTCTACGTAGTCGAACTCAGCAAGCGATTCCTGGAACTCGTCCTCAGGCATGATCCGCGAGTCGCTGGTGCTGACGCGAAACTTCTCGATGGTGGGAAGATGGTACTCGTCGTTCTTCACGAACCTGGTAGAGGTAGGAGGAGCATGCGACTGTTGTGGAGCACGTTCTCCGTGCATAGGATGGGCTATAGGAAGGTCTTCCAAGAACACACCATCGCCATCGTCGCTGTGGCTAGCCTTCGACGCGTGGTACTGTTGTGCCTGACGCTGGACATGGATTGCTAGAAGTTTCTGAGCTGTTTGGCGAGTGGTTTCTGTGTGGCCTTCCCGTCTCTGTTTTCTCTGGAGAATGGTCTGTCTTTTGAGCAGCGGAGCACCTCCGTCAAACACAAAGATAGGGTAGATGCCAAAGTAGAGAAGCTTGCATATTCTTCTGAAGAACCCCACGATATGCGATTGGGGAAGCGCATTGCCTTCGGAGTCCCTGACGGCTTTGAGGAACTGGTAGATCCAGATGGACGCGTCGACTGCCAACTTCTTACGCGAGAGTGCCTCCAAGCGGACGGGACGGGCTGTGGGGCCCAAAATCTCCCATAACGACTTCACACCCATGGTGGATCAGATGGAGGCGATGGCGATGGGGAAGTGTGTTAGGTAATCGGGGCCGCAGCTTAGTCAGCTGTCGGTGTCAGGGGCGCCTGCAGCGATATGCGGGACGTCAAATCATAAATGAGGTGTCAAATCCCTGTGTGTACCCCGCTGTTCTCAAACCCCTGCCTTGCCTTGAGCTCAAGTGTACAATTAGCGAAAAACCCAAGTGGAGAGTTAAAATAGAATTAGGAGATTGCAGAATTAACAGAATTACCCCCCAGAATAATCTAGAATTACTACAACCCCCAGAACAATCTAGAATTACTACAACCCCAGAATAGCCTTGAACTACCTGCAATAATTTGCCCTAAAACCCCCGCAAGTGAAAGCTCCGAATTACTCAGAATCACGCATACCACCAAACCCCTCACCACCCTCAAGCATTTCCAGAATTGCAAACTCCTGAATTGTACAACCATACTCTGGAATTTGCAAACCCCCGATAATTACCCGGAACTGCTTGCAAGCTCTCCAAAATTGCCGCAAAACACCAGGATTACCCCGAATTGGCGCATCCCCAAGTACCCCAAATTACAAAGTCGAGAATTACCAAGGCCAAACGAAACGACCCTAGCGAAATAAATACCAGATTGGGTTCTGCAAACATCGTAAGTTGGTTTGATAATACTACGCTTTTCCGAAAGCTAGCTACTAATTTTCGAACACCGATAACAACTTGAAGAAATCTCGATAAATTCTCGCGAATAGCCCATATTTTAAATCTCACTAATTAAAGGTCAATGTCCTTCCCCTTCTACTCCCGTCGCTCGACCGTCTACTCGTCCCGCGGCATGGTGGCGTCCACCCAGGCGCTAGCCAATGCTGCAGGCGTCCGTATCCTCGAAAAAGGCGGCAATTGCGTGGATGCTGCCATTGCGGTTTCCGCGGCATTATGTGTTTCCGAGCCCACCTCCACCGGAATTGGTGGTGACTGCTTTGCCCTCTATTATAAGAAGGGGCCCGCTGGCGGCCAGGTGTTGGGGCTCAATGCCACTGGCAGAGCCGCCCTGGCGGTGACCATCCAGGACGTGTGGGACCACCACAACCACGGCCAACCCATGGCGCGCATCCCCTACGAGTCGGTTTTCTCGGTAACAGTACCGGGAGCCATCGCTGGCTGGCACGACGCCTGGCGCCAGTGGGGCTCCGGTACCGTGGCGTTCCACGAGCTTTTGCAGCCCGCAGTGGACATGGCCCAGCGCGGTTTTCCCGTGGCGGAGGTGCTGGCGCACTTGTGGCAGCGAGGGGTGGCCAAGCTCCAGCGCCAGTCACCAGTACCCAACCCGTTCATAGTGGACGGCAGAGCTCCCTACGAGGGCGACGTGGTCACTAACACCCCGGTGGCAGAGGCACTCAAGTTGATTGGCCAGCACGGCAAGGACGCGTTCTACAAGGGACCCATTGGCGACGCTCTCGTGGCGGAAACCTCCTCGCGAGGACACAAATTGTCGCACCACGACTTGGCGTCCCACACCAGCACGTTCGTGGAACCACTCAGCGTGGACTTCTGGGGCTACCAGGTGTGGGAGATTCCGCCCAACGGCCACGGGATCGTGGCGTTGATGGCGTTGGGAATGATCCAGACGTTACATGACCAGGGAACCATCGATCTCACCAAGATGGAGCACAACCTGGCAGAGTACCTCCATGTGGTGGTGGAAGTGTGCAAGCTTGCGTTCTACGACTCCGACGAGTACGTCACCGACCCCCAATTCCACGACATTCCTGTGGAGCACCTTGTGAGCCGTGCATACTTGCGCCAGCGGGCCAAGCAGTTTGCACCAGGCGCCGTGGTGGAACCTCCCAGCACCATGCGCCACGCGGTGCCGAACCCCAGGCACCGCAGCGACACCGTGTATCTCACTGTGGGCGACGCCAACGGCGAGGCGTGCTCGTTCATCAACTCGGTGTATCGCGGCTTTGGAAGCGGCATCGTGGTGCCTGAGTATGGGTTCTGTCTCCACAACAGGGGCGCCAACTTCAACTTGACGGCAGGGGCCCCCAACTCGCTCGAAGGAGGAAAACGTCCCTACCACACCATCATCCCCGGGATGATCACCAAAAACGGCGAGCTCTATGCGTCGTTCGGAAACATGGGCGGATTTGCCCAGCCCATCTGCCACGTCCAGCACGTCGTCAACATGACTGTGTTTGGCATGACGCCCCAGCAGCTGGTGGACGCGCTGCGGGTGGTGCTTAGCGCTTGGGAGGATGAGGACGCGGGTGCCGCAGACTCCGGCCGCGGCGCCGATGGGCCTGTCAGCACCCCTCGCACGGAGGTGCATCTTGAGGCGGGAATTGCGCCAGCCGTTGTCCAACAATTGTCTAGCTGGGGCCACTATACGAGGGAGGTCACGGGATCTGCCCGCTCCACTTTTGGCCGGGCGCAAATCATCCAAATGAGCACTCACCGCCATGGCTTCACCTATGCAGGAGGCTCCGACCCACGAGGCGACGGCGCTGCGGTGGCCCTCGTATAGCACCCCCCCGCCAGCTGTGATGGCCCCACAAACTGCCTCCTGCACCTACTGACACCACAAGTGAAGCCCACAATTATCCTATTATTGGTGCATGGCACCGTTTCCCCACACCGAATGCTGCTCGCGATGCCCCTCCGCCAGCACTATGCGCCAAACTCCCGCCTGTCTGCAGGCAGACACACCCGGCCGGGCCAACAACGGGCCCTCCCCTGAGCCGGAGCCCCCCTCTGCCCCCCAATGGGCCCACCCCCAACTGATGGGTTTGCCAAGCCATGTAAAGCTTGCTCCAGAGCCCCACACCACAAGTCCGCATCCTCCGAGCTACCCCATAGATCAGCAAACCCTAAAAAATTTTGCGTCACGTGTGCGCAGCCTAAATCCGATCACAAACTATTGCCCCCGCTCAACACCACCAGACATCCCCAACCACATCGATCGCTCGCAGATATAAAACAGACACTTGTCGCGTGGTTTCCCACCGCCAATTTCCCCATACTACGTCATGTCAGACATCGAAAACCAGGAACACAAACCCCACACCCTCATCCTCGACAACTCCGAAGGCCCTGCCTCTGGCGATGGCTTCACCCGTGTCAAGTCTGAGGGAGAGTACATTCAGTTTGGTAACGAACGCTACCTCAAGTCCGAGTTGGCCCAGGCCTTTGGTGGTACTTTGAACCCCGGTCTTGCCCCTCCTCCCAAGTACGACTTGGCCAACCCTGCACCCTTGGGATTGTCTGCATTTGCGCTCACCACATTTGTGCTTTCGTTGGTCAATGTCGGTGCCAGAGGCGTCACCATCCCTAACATCGTGGTTGGTTTGGCGTTTTTCTACGGAGGAGCTGCTCAGCTCATTGCCGGCTTGTTCGAGATCGCCGTGGGCAACACCTTTGGTGGTGTCGCCTTGTGCTCTTACGGAGGTTTCTGGGGCTCGTACGCAGCCATCTTGGTAGGTCAGTTTGGTATTGAGGCTGCATATGAGGGTGAACCCACCCAATTGACTAATGCACTCGGAATCTTTTTGCTTGGCTGGTTTATTTTCACGTTTTTCATGTGTGTGATGACGCTTAAGTCCACTGCTGCATTCTTCTCGATCTTCTTCTTCTTGAGCATCACGTTCTTGTTGCTTGCCATTGGCGAGTTCAAGGGCGGCGACGTGACTGTCAAGAAGGTTGCGGGAGTGTTTGGGTTGATCACTGCGTTCTGTGCCTGGTACAATGCCTACGCGGGTATTGCCAACCCCCAGAACAGCTACCTTCCTATCAAGGTTCTCCAGTTGCCAGACTTGCAGGATAAGGCCAAGAGTGCTTAGTGCGTGATGTGTGTATGCCGCATATGACAGATGTCAAGCGTGCAGAAGCGTGATGACTGTAACGAAAGCTGCATATCATGAACGACTGATCCGGCTACTATTTATTGAGCCAACCGTGGTTAAACACTTTACGAATCCGGCTATTTATTGTGCCAGCTGCTTAATCACTTAACGAAACGGCTACCAGGCCCGCTATCATGAACGACTGATTCGGCTTATTTATTATTTGATGCTATTTATACTAATTTACTATTTATTTCTACGCGTGAACCGCAGTGTAAGATGCATTATCAAATGTGTCAATCGAAACTTCATACTATTACAGTTCAATTCGCAATAGCTGTGCAAACTCAATCCATGAATGCAATGCCTAGGCAGCTTTAATACTCCATCATCGCATTCCTAACCAGTCTGTTACTATACTCGCTGTATGCTATACTCCCGAGACCCGCTCACTTGAATATAGGCATCACCTTCGCACAGATGTCGTCGTTGGTCTGGTCGATGTTGACGATCTGCTTGATGAACCGACTCAAGTCCTGCGTGAGCTTCATGGTCGACAACCCCAAGTCGTCGGCACAGATAAGAAGGAGGTCTGGCTGGAGGTTCTTCAACATCTGCACGTATCCCTGCAAGTTCAGGCACTTGAGCAACTTGTAGTTGTTGTCTCTGTTGACGAACTCGGTGTTGAGCTCGTTGTTCAAGTCCTCCTCCGAGAGGTTGGGCGGGAGAATGAACACCACGTTCTGCGAGTTGACTAGGATGTCGTTCAAGGGCAACTTCGAGTTGATCACCGACGACGAGAGCGTCAACACGATCGACTTGTTGACCGACTGCTTGGAGAGCTTGTAGCTGCCACGAGGCTCTTCCTCGCTGGCTTGGGTGTAGGAGTTGTAGATCTTGTACGAGATGGCAGCCACCGAGCTGGCCACCAATGCTGCGAGCCAAAGCTTGGGGCTCTTCTGCGCTTGCTTGATGTGTGAGGGCATGTTGTGGATCCGGGAGATGGTCGCTGGAGCCGTGCAATTATCCACTGGGAGTCTGGTGGTGCTACTTTGCTAGTTATACCTGGGCACTTCCGGGGGTGAATCCCACCGCTCATGACCCAAATGTGGTGGTCACGTGAGAGCTAATTGCCGGCCGCAGTTAGCCCTATGTCTTCCGAGGGCACACTGCCCGGAACACGCTTTCCCAACATTTTATTCGCTCTCCTCAGAACAGATTATGAGGGGACGTTTGGAGTGACGTGGGCACACCGGATGGCTGAGGCGAGGAGACCCCTTGGGGAAACCCTTGTGGGGCAATGCAACCTGGCCACCAGCGCCTTACCACAGGAAAAGACACTCTCGATTGGCTGGTAGGCAAAAGCAGTTTCGCTTACGTAAGCAGCATTTCGCAGCCTGGCCTGATTTTCAAGTTTTGGTCAAGAATTTGGAATTTCAAGATCCGTGCCAGTGGGGCCGAAGTGGGGCTCACTACCAACAAAATTCACGGGTATGTGTCTTCAAGAATTGGTGGCTCAATAGCCTTAACGCTACAATCAGAGATAGGGAGTACGACTTACCAACCCATACTCACGTAAAACAATCTGCGTAGGCCACTCGACATGCCATACTCATTATGTAAAATAATATGTGCCTTCACGATGAGGATCGCCAAGTCCATAGTTCACGATGGACCGAAACCTACGATACAGTAATTCTAGGTGATTATTGTGCCTCTACTAATGGACCATTTTCATAGTTTGTTTAGCAAATAGTTTGGCTTTACCCATAAACCAATTATTCTTATTTATTTCCTCTGTGATCTTTCAGGTAGAAGAACACCCTAATATTTCACAATTTTCATACATTTAAGAGCCAAGGCCGTAATCCTACGTGTGTAAAACAGATCATAATATTGGAGAAATGAAAGACTAATACGTTGAATTCATATAGAGCACCCTTTTTTACGAACTCATTTAATATTTTTCTCAAGTACGAGTTACTGATTTAATTCACGCTAGCATAAATTGGTGCACCAAGATAAGGGAGTGATAAATCCGCACCGTTATAGGATCACCAACCGATGGTTGAAAATTTTAAAATAACCAGTTGATGTAGAGGCGATCTAGCTGAGACTACTGTACTTCGCTATGGTATCAGCATACTACGGTTATAGTAACTCCAGAAGCTAATAGAACGATTTTTTTTAATAAAGGTAAGACTGCTGGAGAAATAGCTCCAATATCTGTACTACAATACTCTGAAAAACCTTCACGATGGAACAGCCTATTTGTGGAAAGTCTAACAGAGAAGGCTTAGGATGATACAAAGTATCATCTACAACCTCCACCCTGCCCCTCCGCCAGTAGCCGTCCTCACGCCATTCTCCAGAAATGCCGATCCGCTATGCCTATTTGGAGTCGCAACCAGTCACGTTTACCAATTGGGATCGCCTAGCTGGGCCTGAGAATGACCGTTAGATATCGACATCATCTGAGGGGTCCTGGCGGGTGCACTCGGGGCCAACGAAGGCCAGTGGGGTCCAGTGGGGCGAACGGCGGGATCTGCCCCCATCTAGTATCTCCAATCTGGAGTCGGGGTTCGGTTGTAGTTACTGGAACAATTTCCGCTATTTTCTCCTCTTCGAGAATGGCGCCTAGTGAAGGAGGCTCCGGCGCCGAGTCATACTATCGGGGCCAGCACTAGGTGCAGGCATGGCCACAAGATAGCGCATGTGTAATTGCCTGATTGGTCCGAGACATGCGCTTTTGCCAATACCAAACCCCATTATCATTCCGCCAACGGAGCGGGGCCACGAGTGGGGTAGTCCATCTGGAGGACACCAGAGCTATCTCAACCTCGACCACCACGCCAGGATGGACCTGGCAGTCCACACCCACCAGATCGGCATCCATACCACCACCACCACAGTACAGAACCGATCCCAGCTGCCTTTTCGGGCGGCGCGGTATCCTCCAGCTGCAGGCGGATAACAGGTGGGCTCCGATGCGGTAGGTTCACCCGGCTGCCGCATTCGGAAGTTGCAGCAGATGAGGTGGAGATTACTCCTCCAGCGCCAGCCAGAGCCTCCCACCCCACAAGCTATATAAGACCCCAGCGTCCCCCGAATGGTTGCAACTTTCCATCACAGTCCAACACCTCCAAAATGGCCCCAAGAATCCATCCTTTTGACTCCGTTAAGGATTACGAAATCAAGTTAGCTTCTAAGCTCATCAAAGACTCCTACCCAGCCGATGCCAACTGCCACTTCGTCCAGATCGAAAGAACCGATCCTCCCAAGAAGGACATGATCAAGTACCTCGATGCTGAAAGACAAGGCTTGCCTTTGCCAAACATCCCAAGAGTTCTCTACGCGTATTACTGGACTAATACCTTGGAGTTCAACAAGGCTTTGGTCAACGTTACCGTGGGCCACATCATCACCAAGGTCCAATTGCCAAAGGGTGTTTGTGGTCCTCTCTTGCCAGAAGACATGGAAGACTGGGAAGAGCACTGTAACAACCACCCAGCTGTCAAGGCTGAGATCGAGAAGTTGCAGTTGCCTCCAGGCTACCAGGTTAGAAACGACCCATGGATCTACGCCACCGACGATCCAAACGAAAAGAGACCATTGGTGCAATTTTTCATGTATGTCCTTGCTGGTAACGGACACTCTGAATCCAACCACTACTCTTTGCCCTTGAAGTTCTCGCCTGTGTTCGAATGTTTCACCAAGAAGTTCATCAGAATTGACTACTTGCCAGGCGGCTACGACGAGAAGATCACCCCTACTGGCCCATGGCAAGAGGTCCCAGCCGTCGAGTACCACCCAGACTTGAACGGCGAGAACGTCATGAGAGAAGTCAAGCCATTGTTGGTCAACCAGCCAGAAGGTCCATCCTACACCGTCCAAGGCTCCAAGATCAAGTGGCAAGGATGGGAATTCAGAGTCTCCTCCTCTGCCAGAGAAGGTTTCGCCATCTACGACGCCTGGTTCAAGGGCAGACAAGTGTTCTACCGTGTGTCTTTGTCTGAAATGACCGTTCCTTACGGTGACCCAAGAGCCCCATACCACAGAAAGCAAGCTTTCGACTTGGGTGACTGTGGTTTCGGTGCCTGTGGTAACAGTTTGAGTTTGGGATGTGACTGTTTGGGTACCATCACCTACTTGGACGGTATGGGTATCCACGCCAACGGTGACCCATTCGTGGTTCCAAACACCATCTGTTTGCACGAACAAGACAACGGTTTGTTGTACAAGCACGTCAACTACAGAAACGGTAACGCTGTTCTCGCCAGAAAGAGAGAGTTCGTAGTCCAAACCATCGCTACTGTCGCCAACTACGAGTACATCATCAACTTCAAGTTTGTCACCGACGGTTCTCTCGACATCGAAACCAGAGCCACTGGTATTTTGAGTACCATGCCAATCGACGAAAACGTCAAGGTTCCATGGGGTACCATTGTCGGACCAAACGTCATGGCTGCCTACCATCAACACATCTTGTCGTTCAGAATCGACCCTGCCGTCGATGGTCACAAGAACACTGTTGTCTACGACGACACCCTCAAGTTGCCAAGAAACAAGTTGAACCCATACGGTATCGGTTTCGTGACCGACAGACACTTCGTTGAGAAGGCTGGCTCCATCGACCAATCTCCATTCACCAACAGAACCGTGAAGATTCTTAACGAAAACGTCATCAACCCTGTCTCCAAGGGTCCAGTCGGTTACAAGGTTTCCTTGCCAGCTGCCCAAATGATCTTGGCTGACGACGACTCCTTCAACGTCAAGAGAGCCAAGTTCGCTACCGAACAAATGTGGGTCACCAAGTACAGAGACCACGAATTGTTCGCTGCTGGTGAGTTCACCAACCAATCCCAAACCGACGAAGGTCTTGGTGTTTGGGGTAGCAACGGTGACTTGGTCAGAAACGAAGATCTTGTTGTCTGGGCCACTTTGGGTTTCACCCACATCCCAAGAGTTGAAGACTTCCCAGTCATGCCTGTTGAAACTCACACCATCCACTTGGCTCCATTCAACTTCTTCGACAAGAACCCAGCCTTGGATCTTCCTCAAGCCAACAACAACTTCAACAAGTCTGTTAACCACCCAATCGGTAGTGATGCTGAACCTCCATGTTGCAGCAGCAAAATTTAATGATTCAGTTATGAAGTATATAGCCAACTATGTTCGCAAATAGAAATATGTTTTAGAATGAGTGTAGAATGTCTTATGGTATAAGTTACATGCATCGATCGTTAAAAACTATGTTTGAAAATAGAAATGGTCTGATAATGAAAGTACCAATGACATGCTTCAGCCATCATTTGTGGTGCTAGAAGAAATAGGTACCTTGGCCAAACCTTGCGATAATATCGTAAGAAGATACAATAGAGCTTTTATCGTTACTAGAGTATGTAGTATTACAGTCATGTATGTAAAATAATCATAAATTCTTCATTGCTAGAAATCAATTCTAGATTATGAATATTCTTGTTCTGCATTTACTACATCCTCCCGGACTGTAATGAATATCGAAGCATTAGGATAGACTGTGACAACTCATTTACAACTATCACGCCAGTGTTTCGTTTAGCAATCAGCCCTACAAATTCTCAATTAATTATTCATTAGTTTATACAGTTACATACCCAGAGTTTACTAGCACTGCTAGCTTATTCGTAATCCAAATTACTCAAACAGTAATTCATCTCCTCCTCATCCAACGACTTAATATACAAACATTTCGATAACAACTCAGCATTGGGCTCCAACTCATAGTAAGATGACCACTCAATACACTGGGACAATGACTTAACAATATGGACCGAAGTTCTGAACTTAGAGAAATTGATAACCTTCTCAACCTCCCTAGTTGTATTAATTGTTGACTCGGAAACATCAGAATCGAGATTCTTGGATGTATTAGGTGACTCTTTTGTAGTATTTTTAGTATGCATCGAAGAAGGAGATGCCACCATGGGCACGAATGTCTCCTCTTCCTTGGTAGTTTTCTTTTGCTTGATGAAAGTTGGTCTTTCAGCATTGAAAATAAGATCACTCAAGTATAAGCCCACAAAAGGTATACATCCCTTTGATGGTTTCATTTGATTAATGCATAATCTGATATTTAAGAAGTTTTTCAATGGAGAAGCAAGCTCTTCCAAATTCTTCAACATCAAAATATCACCTGGAGGGAGATTCTTCCAGGTCTCACGAAGCTTTTGAACCTTTTCAGAAGTTAATCCCAAGATGATTTGCATTAAAGTGGAATAGTTTTGTAAAGAATAACACTTTTGAGCAATATGAATGAATCTTGAAATAATTGCAATCCTTTCCTTTTGACTCCTTGTTAAGATTATTTCCGATACTATCCAGTTCACCATCAAATTGAATCTTGCAATGATCAAATTTACTCCTTTATTCTTGTTGTAGTATTGATCGTTGACAATAATTTCCAACCAACTATTGACTGGAGTGAGCTCCTTGTTCCACTTAAGTTCAATAAGCTCTTTCCAATCGATCTCTTGTAGCATATCCTTCTCAATAATAGTAAAATGGTTTGCAAGAGCTTGCGAATCAAAACCAAGGACAAATGAGATGTGAGAAGAAAAGCTCATCACTTTTCTTACTGATAAATAATCATTTGAAGGTGCATAGTTATCGAGGATGATCTTGGGTGAAGCAAGAGCTGGACTGGTTGAATTGCTATTGAAGTTCGATGGATTGAAAAAGACACTGTCATTGTTTGGAGTTGACGTTAATGGATCGTGTAAGATGAGTCTCTGTTTCAATGGTGTCAAAGGACGAATTTGGTTCTTTTCGTCCCGTCTTTTAACAGGGGTCAAGGGAATCTCTTGAGTTATGTCTTGTTGAGTGGAAAAGTCGATTAGATCTTCAGTATTTGCGTTTTCAATTTCATTTAGAATTTCGTCGGTTGAATTTGGCCCAGGTTCGATTGTACTAGAGCTGGTATCACGAGGGCTTTTCTCACTAAGCTGCAGAGCACGCTTATTCAAGATTTTGGTGGAATCTTTACCTTCTAACTTGAATAAGGCAAATTCGATAGGATCGTTAGATTGGAATGATTCATCTGGAATAGCAGCCAATTCTTTCAACACATAACTACTAATACCTGGAATTGCAATTGAATTCGCTGAAGAGTTGTTACTTGAATGTAAATTTTCAGTGTTGGTTTTGTTTGAGTTTTTCCTACTCTTCATAGCCACAGAAAAGATCGAACTGTCAGCCACATCAGACAGCTTTGAAGATCTTTGTAAGACGGAGTTTTTCTTTTCGACAATGGATTCCGTTTGATAATTACTGAAAGGAAGTTCTGTTAAAGCACATAGCGTGCTAAAACGCACACTTCTCCTCACCGAAGACGATCTAGATATAATTGACCCAATGGAACCCGTTTTTATTCTAACAGGTAAATCCAATGAGTTTCTTTCCGTAAACGTTGGACCTGCCAAAGTTCTCAAGTTATTGAAGCCGTTCATCTTCTTCAATGGTCCATTATCTCTCATGGAGTTCCTGGAGCCATTTGATGCTGAAAAAGCGGAATCATAACTAATGTATGATTTCATGGAATCCCTTCTGAACACAGAGCCATTCGAATTTCTTGATACAGAGTCCCTCTTAAATGCCGAGCCTCCCGAGTGTCTAGAAATTCCAGATGCCCGTTGAAAACTGCTATGATCGTTGAAACTTATTCTCTTGATTGTCTGTTGTTGAATCAGTTGTGGACTTAAGGCAATACCCAATTCAGCAATATCGGCATCATACTGGGTAATGTTACTTGGTGTTGAGATTGACGTATCAAAAGAATTACTAGTATTCTGAAACTCACTGAAGTGCATTTCGGGAGGATTTGGCAACTCCGTGCTAACATCAAAGTATTGGGTAGCTGACTTTAACATTCTCTCTGACATATCTGGTCTATTTGAAGTTTCTCCATCATCATTGAATACGTTCGAATCAGCAGAATTATTCACTTGAACTTCTGAATTCTCTAAGTCTAAGTTTCCTTCATCATTCCAATTGATACTTGCAGCTTTTTGGAATGAAGATTCCTGTGAGTTGTCAACCAATGCTTCAGGCAAGAAGTTTTCACTTGAACCTCCGATCTGAGGGTTAATGGATTGTAATCTATTTTGATTCTTCTCCTCGTTGCTTCTTTTGACATTTATGAGGTTATCTATCTTGATGATGTTTAGATCAGATAAATCATTGATATCCATGTCTTCTTCATTTTCATTTTCCTGGGGAACTACTTCATCCTCATCTATGATATTATCAATTTCCGCGTTCATTGACAGTTCAGTCATGTTTCTGGAAATCCTTGGTTTTTTGGCGGGAGATCCCATCACATCAATACCTAGCTGCTCATGTTCCTCGTAATCAATATCATCTATATTAGCACTAGGTAAATCATCATTCAGCTGCTTTGTACTTTGCTGTCTATCATCCTCAATTATTATTCCTGGAGAAACATCATTTCGTATGTAATATCTCAAAAGATATTCCAACTCATCAATTATTCTTGCACTCAAAACATCAACTCTATGCCCTATTATTTCTTGTTTTTCATCCTCGATGTTATTGAGAGCATCAGTAATTACTGCGTCGATATCTTCGTTGTCAATTGTTTTATGTGAAATCAACTCATCGTTATGACTACGGTTGTGAGAATGAGCAGTGTTAATGATTGTTCTTTTCCATCCATCCATGAACTTCTTGATTGATTTCTTTCTGTCCACAGCATTTGAGCTATAATCCACATGAGGAGGCTGACTCATCAGATTCTTACGTGGTGACCCATTTAACGAAGATCTGAATTCACTTGTCCCCTTAATTACATAGTCCATTTTCTTAACTGGCGTGGGTGGTAAAATTTGGGTTACTTTAGAGTTGGGCAATCTGACATTTCCATTAGTAGAAAACCCACTTGGTTCCAGCTTAGGCTTAGATTGAGCTTGTTTCTTGGGAGTGGTTACAGGGTCCTCTGGCGAAGAATCTGCTGGTTCATCAGTTACTTCCTTATCAATTGAAGTGTTCATATTGGAACTAGTCTTCTTCAATGTGAGAGAAGAGTCCTTCAAGTTCATGTGATTATGTCTATTAGTAGGTGCCAATGGGGTATTATTACGTGGTTTGGAATTGGGCTTTTCTGATAAGGCTTGGAACTGGAAGTTGTTGATAATCGGAGACTTGCCTTGCTTGTCATGTTGCAGTTGTAACTCTTTCAATTTAATATTCAATGATTGTCTTGAGGATTGATGTTGAAGCAACAAATTGTTGATCGAGTACTGAGGATTTTCGTCTTGGTTATTAACATCATCAAAGATAATACATTTATGCAAGGCCTTTTTGTCATACAATGAGAGCATGGCTGATCTTCTGTAAGATGGGTTGGTATGAAGAGACATTTCCGTGTTGGTTTTTGATAGTCTTTTTGTGTTTGGGATCTCGGAGCTCGAGGGTAAACTATAGGTCAATATGTCATGCGACTGGACGATCAGGTCGATATCGACATTGACCTTCCAAAACTCGTTGACGAGATTCAACCAATGTATTTTCAAGTCGCTCAAGATCTTCTTCTCGAACACCATCTTCTGGGCCTGGTCCTCTTCGTCGGAGATCTTGTTGCAGATAAGATTGGACTCGATGGTGATTCTGTTGATGGTGGAAACGAACAAGTCACACAAGGCGTTGTTGGGGTCGAAGTCGTCCACGAAGTAGTTGAGGATCCAGTGTCTCAATACCACGAATGTTCTCAACAATACAAGCTTACCTATTCTCTTGTTGGACTCGACGTTGGAATTGATGTACTGCAAGGCCCAGATCAACCTGGTCAACAAGAGGTTCATGACCTCCTCGCTGGCCACGAACACTCTGTATGTGAGGAAGAAGTCGCAGATCAAGTTGTAGTCAATGACTTCGGGGGAGGTGAGCTGAACCAACAACGCCTTGAGGGTGGCACTGTTGATCAACTCGGGGTTGTTGTCGTCGAACTTGACGATGTTGTCGGTGGCTGGGCCCAGGTGCAAGCACGGGAAGATGCGTTCGTCGTCGAAGATCGACTCGTTGTGCTTGTTGTAGATGAAGTCAGGGTGGACTAGTTGATCTTGCACTAGCACGTTGAATATGGACGCTCTGGAAAGCGAGTTTCTCTGGCTTTGGGTCTCCATCATGTCGTCGATCGAGGGGCTGGGGCCCGTAGGGATCTCTTCGGTGGCCATGACTGGGGACGGCCTGCTGGGGGATGGGATGGGACTGATGACGGTTCTGCTCGAGTATATGTCCTGAAAACAACAACAAATATCTGGGGTCTGTGTGCAGGAGGCGTCACTGGTAACAATAGGGCGACGCGAACAATAGCTCTCGGGAATTCGTAGCGGGAGCCCGTGCGAGGCTAGCGAGGCGGGAGACGATGGGGGGACTATACCTCAGTACGCTGGCGGCAGACTGGCGGTACGAGGGAGAGGAGGGGGTCCAGTAAAGGTGGTGTCAGGGGCAGCAGGGAGGATTTTGCGGTACGGATGCCAGTTATTGGCTGGCGCAGAGAGCGATTGGCTAGGGCCACCTGGCCAGGCGGGCTCTGGAGCCATGGATGGGCCTGGCCAGTGTTCTCTCTGGTGGTGACAGTATCGGCTAACAGGCGAGGTGGTGAGCGCGTCGAGAAATAGTATGGGCCGCACGTGACTGGTGATGAGAGGCTGCGAAGTGCATTGACGGGGTTCTGAAGTAAATAAGGTAGGTATTGGTAGAAATGGTGGTAGTGCCGGCGATAGGTGATGCACCGCCGTTTGCTGGAGAATTGTGGATGATCGTAGGCTAGAGAGATTTGAGAATAGACTTTAACATGGTATAGAGACATTGGTGCTAGAGACATAGTGCTAGAGACATAGTGCTAGAGACATTGGTGCTAGAGACATAGTGCTAGAGACAT